AAAAAAAAATGCAAAATGTAAATTGACACAGGCGGATTTGTACCTCGTACCTTAATCATGAAAGACTCAAGTGGTAGCGATAAACAACTGTTGGTTGCTTTTGTAGCATGATAAAATTGGCTATTTAAGCTAACTCAAATTTAAAAATTACTTTTTCGACTTAAAAAAGTAAAAAAAATTTAATAAGTTTAATTTCTTATGTCTTATGAACATTATTCTATGTCAATTAAATTATATAATATTCATGAAAGTCAGTGTATTCCCCTATTAAGATATTTTAAAATAAAATAAAATACAAAACCCAAAATTTTAATATAAAAATAGCATATTTTTGAATACGGTAGCCATTTGCGCATAGAAGATAGGTCGTCGGGAAAAATTTTTTTTTTTAATATTATAGTACATGACATAATCTTTAATTTGACATATGTTTAAAGAACGCAGTATTTCCGGAACATTTTCAAAAGTTAAGTTCAAAAAATTAGTTTTTGTAAATAAGTTGCTATTTTAATTCCCCCCTGTGAGCAGAATAAGTGTTAGATTTTCAAAAAAAATAATATCAAATGAAAGAAAATTACTTAAGGTTTCAATATAAAAAAATATTTTTTTTGATTTGTTAATATTTGAAAAAGTTATGGCAGTTTTAAGTACAAAAAACATCCCGATAAAAGGTGATTTTTATCACAAACATTACATTTTTTCTTAAATTTCGACAGNAATTTGACATATGTTTAAAGAACGCAGTATTTCCGGAACATTTTCAAAAGTTAAGTTCAAAAAATTAGTTTTTGTAAATAAGTTGCTATTTTAATTCCCCCCTGTGAGCAGAATAAGTGTTAGATTTTCAAAAAAAATAATATCAAATGAAAGAAAATTACTTAAGGTTTCAATATAAAAAAATATTTTTTTTGATTTGTTAATATTTGAAAAAGTTATGGCAGTTTTAAGTACAAAAAACATCCCGATAAAAGGTGATTTTTATCACAAACATTACATTTTTTCTTAAATTTCGACAGCCATTTGTACATAGAAGATAAGTTGTCGGGACGAATTTTTTTTTTTCATTTTATAGTATATAAAATAGTCTTTGATTTGATATATGTTTAAAGGACGCAGTATTTATGGAACATTTTTAAAAGTTAAGTTGAAAAAGTTCAATTTTTTATACAATGTTTGAAGTTTTGAACGCCCCCTATATAAGGGGAATTTATCCAATTTTAATAAAAAGTATGTCAAATGAAAGATGAACTTATAATGTATTTAGAAAAAAAAATTGTGCTAATACATACATTTTTCGAACAGTTATAGCATTTTTAAGTTGAAAATTTAAAATCGAAAATTTTAACACAAAAATAGCGTTTTTTTAACTACGGCCGCCGTTTGCATGCAGAAGATAAAGTGTCAGGACAAAATTTTTTATTTTATTTTATAGTACATAAAATAAGCTTTAATTTTATATATGTTTAAAGGACGCAGTATTTCCGGAACACTTTCAAAAATGAGTTGAAAAAGTTTCTATTTTAAATCCCCCACAGTGAGCAGGTTAAGCGATAAATTTAAAAAAATATATCAAATGAAAGGGACAAATCTAAGGTTATAGTGNAAGCGATAAATTTAAAAAAATATATCAAATGAAAGGGACAAATCTAAGGTTTTAGTGTAAAAAAAAATTATGTTGATTTGTTGATTTTTAAAAAAGTTATGGAAGTTTTAAGAAAAAAAAGTGAAAAAAATGACAAAATTTACCGATTTTTAAATTTGTAATTTTTTTGGAGATTTCCTCCATTTGCGAGGAACGAGGGAAAATTTGTGATGTTTTGACGTATTGTTGAAAGAAATCGGTCCTGTGAGAGCTGAGAAAAAGTGGCAACAGACAAAAAAAAAAAAAACACATCATGGTAAAATTAATACCTTCTCAGCTTCCCACCGAAGCTAATAACCAAAAAAATATAAGTTAAAAAGAAATTCAACAATACAACAGCCGACAAAATCAGATGAAACTAGGCACAGAATATTTTTGAATAGTATAGTATATTTTAAAGTATTATAGGGTATATGAGGAATAAAGTTCTGAATATTTCAATTGTAGCATCTATTTAAACACCTAGAGTTATGTATACATGATTAGTATTTCTATTAAATTGGTTTATTACGATATGAATACAAAAAATATATAAGTAATTTTCACGAAATTTGGACTTCTTTTATAAATTTACTGTTCATGATAATTATATAAATTGTTGACCATATATCGATCTAAACAAATTAATTTTTTAAATCTTCATAAAATTTTCTATTAAATGATATCAATTTCAAACTTGCACGTTGAACTAAAAAAAAGCTTAAATGCTTATCATTTTTAAATTATAAACATTCATGAAAATCAACTTAGAAGGATCAAAAAATAGGTTATACATGACGACATATTAAATCAAAATTTGCGTGTTACTGTAACTCTACATTTATTCTTAAAATAATTGTGTTTTTGATTTTGTTTCAGATATTGATTTAAAGTTGTGAGGTTATTTATAACACCATTACATTTTTTTATAATATTAATTTTTAATTAAAATACATTTTTTTGTTCAAAATAATTTTTTTTTTTAATTATTTTAAATTAAATTAACTCAAGTAGTTACACATATGTAAAATGTTAAAAATCGCTGCTAAAGAATTATCATAAAGTTCTAGAATTTAAAAAAAATTGTTTCAAACTTAAGTAAAAAATCTCATAGGGCCAACGTAAATATTGAAATGTTTTATGTTTTAAACAAGCAGTATTTAAAACGTAACGACCTGTTATTTTGTATAAATTAAATGTGTTCATACTGTGCAGATACAATACGTTCACTAGAATCTTTAATTTTTTCTTTAGTTACAATATTAAATTCTGATAAATATTTTTCACATATAACACTTTTACCAGGTACCAAAGTTTGTCTACATAAATCTTGTCATTTGTGAGCTCTAATTTAAATTTATGGTACTTAAAATATAAATTTAGTTTAAGATTTACAAGTACAACAATTTCGAGGCATATTATTTAAAAATTAAATATTATTGAAAAAAATAAAAGTATATAGGCAACAGTAGTGTTACACCATATATTGTAAAATGAAATGACATTTCATGTATTATGAAGAATTATGTGTCTAATTTTTTTAATATTTTGTTTCATTATATAAATGCAAGTCTCTAATATATTTTTTTGCATATTAACATACGATTGAAAAAAGTATTTTACATTTCTAATGCAGTGCTATCTATTTATTGAATATAAGTTATTTTAGGTATTTTAAACTAGATTACGCCACGTAGCACGGCCACATTGCTATATAAATAACGGCTCAACTTATTAGCCGAAATGTGGAATCTGTTATGATCTGTAAAAAACAGACTACATGAAAAAATTATATATAATCTGTGGTCTAATTGTGCCGTAATCCACACTTCATAATTTTGACATTTTCATTCATACAACGTATTTCAGGTTGACAATATATTCCACTATGTGACAACACTGTAAATTAAATCACATGTAGTATTCATTTGAGATGTTTGTAGTTTAGAATAGTTTAAAAGAGCGGCAAAAATCTCTCATATCATAATAAGAGTGTTACGCACAAAATTTCCAATTAACATGATATTTTTATACTTTTTCGTCATTTAGCAGTCAATTTTTTTTAAATAAAAATAGTTTCTTTTCCAAATCCTATTACTAACAGTAGACAACTAAAAACAATTTCTTATTTTTTATGTGTTGAAAACGTTTGTTACAAAGTGAGTAGCTAAAATATTCTTATTCTTTTTGAAAAATAATACTTACATGTAAGTACATATTTTAAAATGTTTATAACTATGTAAATCCATTTTAATAATTATTCTATGAAGCTTAATGACTTTATTTGATATAACATTTTTGACCTAATAAAAATATTTATTATTTGTTTAAATTAAATTCTAAAGATAACAATAAAGTATAATGTATTGTATTTATATTATAGGTTTTTACTTTTTTAATAATTATCAAAAAACGCCATTTCAATTGGATAATAGTGATAGAAATTCATTGAGTATGGATCGTTCTGAACTAGAGACTGAATTTGAAGATATGGGTTTATCTATACCTGCTACTATAATTGATGAATGTAAGTAGTTTCAGTTTTTTGTTTAAACTTACTGTTTTCTTAATAAAAATAGATGGTTTTAATTTTATATTAAACTAATATGTTAGCTGACTGTACTCCTTTAAAGGTTCAATAGGTCTTAATTTATTTAAAATTGAAAAATGTAATTATGATTGATTTATTTAAATTAAACATTTTTTTATTAAAAACTGAAAAATAATAATTTATTAGTTTTCTAAAATTGTATTAGTATCAATCTTTTAGCTTCGATGCGAAGCTGAGAAGGTATTGAATTTACTATGATGTGTTTTTTTTTTTTTTTTGTCACCACTTTTTCTCAGCTCTCACCGAAGGGATTTCTTTCAATTATACGTCAAAAAATCACAAATCGTACCTAGACGAAGACATTACCCTCAAAAATTGAAAAAATTTCCCTCGTTCCCCGTGAATGGGGGAAACCTCCAAAAAAAATTACAAATTTAAAAATCGTTAAATTTTGAAATTTTTTACTTAAAACAGCCATAACTTTTTCAAAAATGAACAAATCAATATAATTTTTTTATAGATGCTTGATGTCTTTACCTATTATTTGGTATATATATTTTATAAATTTAACCCTTTAACAGCCCACAGGAAGTGTGAATTAAATACCATCTAAAGATTTTCATCGAAGCGTTTTTTTTTTTTATAGTGATTTTAATAATTGTCATATATTATTATACTTGATCCAACTATGCCACGTCACCACTGTGCCGCGACCCCCCTGTGCTGGGTTTTTTTAAATTATAACAATTATTTTAATACTATTTTTCCAAATTTTATTTTGGCTAAGTCAGCAAAGTTTTGATATTAATATTTATTAGATATCTTATTATTTTCATAGATTAGAATCATTTGATTTAATTTTTTTCATTATAACTTACAAATGTTTGTCATTAGTTAATATTAGTTTTTATTATAATATTTATATTTATATTTTTCAGGTGTAATAATATGTATCACACATAAAATTTCAGCATCAGACTTGGTTGGATCATGGGTAGCATATTGTGCTTCATCACAATTAGATGCTAATGATTTAAATAAAGAAAAATTAAGCACACTAATTAAGACTTTTAAAATTGCTGATGAACATAAATTAAATGAAAAGTAATGACAAATTAAGATTGACATTCTTCATAAAAAATAATTGTTGTGGTGGGATGTTGGGTCCTCTATAGGAATAAATGTAGATGACACTAGTTTTACTAATAATAATTGGTGTAGGACCGTATATTTTACTGATAAATACAATAATTAAAAATAATATTACACAATAAATATATTCTCACAAAGTTTAGCCTGGTAAAATAAATATGCTAAGTGACATTAGTTAATCCAGTTGAGAATGTGGTGATGGTCAAATTTTGAAACCAGTGGTCCCAATAGAATAGTACAGTATATACAGATTACTGCAATGTTTATTTGTAACGGGTCATCATCGGTTGTGTAATACTTGCTGGACTTTGTGTCTTGACATATGGCACATGGTGTTAGTCAAACTACCATGTATATGTAGTAGAGCAATGGCTGACAAAGGTGGCATGAGTTACGAGGTACCTTAATCACAAAGCAACGCTAGACCAAGTTAAATTAAAACTCATTATTATTCTAATTTGTATTAATTTTGTTTTATTTTTACTCAAATTTGTATTTTTATAAACTTCATGTTTACATTTTAGAAAATATGATGGAAGAAAATCTATTGATGTAAAACCAAATTTAAATGAACTGTCTAGAATTCAATCTAATAGTCCTGTTACAAAAAAAGTAAGTTATTTAAGTAAGTTTTTGCTTCATCTAGTTTAGATAGATTGGATCAATGAATAATTTATATGTATATATATTATATTAGTGTAAAATCATTTAACATTGTAATAACCACTAGAATTTTTAGTTTATATTATAGTTATTAATAAGTGAAAATGTGATTAAGTGTTAGGGAAGAAATGATTTTGTATTCTACTAAAAATTGAAAAAAATGATGTCATATATTTATCAAAAATTTTTCTTTGGAAGGAGAAAATAAAATCTAGTCTTCTATAATAAAATGACCAAGAAACCTACATAACCTTGTACTATTTTGTCCTTTCAAATATAGGTTTTATGTTAATGGATATTAAATCCATAACTAAAATGTTCTGATCAAATTTTATAAAAATTTAAATATTTTCTTTGTGAAGTTAGACATGTTTTTTATTTTTTTTAAATTTATGATACACATAAACTAAGTTTCTACTAAATAAAATTAAAAGTTTTGTAAACAGAATCAGAATAAAATCTGCTTTCATTAGAGCTTAGTTCTAGAGGGATATATATAAAAAAAATTTCAATCTCCCCCTCTAACAAAAAAAAAGGCTTTCATTGTAAAAATATTTGTAGTGTGGGGAAATCTTTACCCCTTGTCTCTCTTTTATTGTTTGATGAGTACATTATTACCATAGATCTATAATTTGATAGACGGTCCTTAAGCTGATAAACGAGGAGGCAAAATGGTTACAGTAAGAGGGAGAACAGTATAGTGCACTTTTTAGCGCATTTGGAACTATGATACAAGTAATGATAATTAATACATTATTATGTGCAAATAATATGTTAGTAACTATTTTGTTATAAAATTAAAAAGAAAATTTTATTACTTTCATAAGTTC